TTCGATTCCGGTGAAAAGGTGCTAAGCTTTCGTCCGTCATATGACGGACATCATCAGAGCGAGGTAACTTAGTAAAGATGGTGCCAGATTGGGTAGATATGTGTATAGGAAACGCATAAATGCAGGTTTCCTTTAGAAGTTCTTTTCCAACCGCACTTATGAGGTTAAAATAGGAGTTATTAAGTCTATGATAATAAATAGTATGCGTCTGGCAAATAGTAAATATCCAAACCATGAATTGAGGAGACTAAGGAGAATTCTGATTGATAATAGTTATCCACGATGACTGGTTGAGAATTATTTTAAAATATTGTCAAATAGGATGGAGGGAAATACATATTTGGGGCTAGATAAAAAGTTGCACCACTCTACCAGAGTTTTCTTGACTCGTTAGCTTGAATTTTTTGTGACGATGATACCTCGCTCTGATGATGTCCATCATGACAGACGAAAGCTTAGCACCTTTTCATCGGAATCGAAGGAGATTGCCTTGAAAACAGCGTCAGCATAAATCTTCCAGTAAAGCCAATCGACAGCTGGTCAAGAGGAATCCGCCGTCATCTTCTGGTGGAGCCGATCTTCAAATCTTTTTACACAACACTTTTACTTGAAATAGAAGTTAGCTAAACAATTACGAAACCAGAGATTCCTCGAAACCCAACTTTTCTTCGCATATAATTTCGTTAATATTGATCTTTTATCCTAGTTTATGTCTAGCTTATGATTACAAGCTAATTTCGTAATCCTTTTTCCTCTGATCAGTTATTATCTCTTCTGACATACTTGAAGTTCGAAATTTCTTTATTTACTATTGTTCATTATTTTTTATATTCATGCTATAGCCCGAGAAATATTAGTTTTATGAATACATATACCAGTACCTATTTTGTTTTTCACTAAACCAGGGTGTATTCAGTCACCACAGTGTGATTATGCTCTGCACCAACGTCTTCCAGACTCTCTGGCCTGGTCCGCTCCCGGATGATGACCTTGACGTTCGACCGGTCTCAACTGAGGAAAGCATTTTAGCGAGACAGAACCGACTTGTTGTTAAGGCAACAGGGCCACGTGGACCCGAAGCATACTGGCGTGTACATAAGGTGGGCCAGAGGGTCCGTCGATTCGAGTCCCTCTCTTGGCCTGGCCACTACCTGCGGCTCATCGATCATGCATGTGATGTAATGGTGCGTTTTATTATCTCAGTATCTTCTGCCTACTCTTTCTAACAAGCCAGCTGCAATAGGGTGAAAAAAAGGTTTTGATGAGGCACAACGGTGTTTATTATGTCTTGAATAGGATAAATTATCACCAGTATTAATTAAATAAGTATTAAGCTGACTTATGATACCATCACAACTGTTTTCAACTATAGAATTTTGCAATTTACTTTGGTATCTGGCAAAATATTTATAGGCACAGATTTTGGCATAACCTTTACATCCTGGAGTAAAACGTGCGATATTCAGAAATGCATTATTAATGACTAAATTGACAAAGGAGCTGATGGGCAGTTTTGTTGCTTGAATTAAAAAATGATCCTTCTATTTGGAGGTTTGAGGGAGCTGGCCTAAGTACATTAAATATAGTGATCTTCTCATTAAGTATATCTGGTTTTTGATCTAGAATTACTTGCTATATCACTTTGTGCTAGCAGCATGATGCTAAATATTCCTTTTGTGAGTGGTTAAAGCATTCAGGATATTCTTTATTGTATACAATGATCCTTTTTAGAGTGGCTGGACACAATTTGGCAATTACAATGAGATAATTAAAAATGTGTAGTTAATAGATTTATTTATTTAGTTCTATTTTAATAGTTAAGAGTTTTGACTCATGAAGAACTTATTCTATTTCAGATAATTGCTTTGTTAGAGACCAAGTTGGATATCCACTTATTTCTAGCACTCTAAATACGAGTAATGTATTCTTTTCAAAGTTACATGAAAACTTTCTCATAAAGCTAGAATTCGTAGGGCTTTGGTTAATTATAATTGTACTAGATACCTTCTTTTCTCTCAAACCGACACATTTTGCTCTGAATTTGAGCATCCTCAACAAACCCAAGCACTGACCAAGCGTCTTAGGCGAGTGTGCAAGTTCTGCTTGTATAGCTCACTGTGTTCAAAGTTTGACCAACCAACCTTATTTAGACTTGTTTGTTTCCGTTAAGCCTTCTTATTTGGGCAGTGCCGACGTAATTCTTGTGAGTATAGTCCTTTTTAGGGAGCCGCAATTATACTACAATATGGGTAGTCAACTTTTAGTTGGAGTTATTATAAGCCTGGTAAATTTACTCTATATGGCGCAAACATTTATTGCTAATTTACGTTTATACTTAAGGTGCAGTACATGAATTGACTTATATAAAGGGTAATGTAAATACATATTTTATCTGCAATCCTCATGTTTTCCACACATCAACCACTCTTTCCTTCCTATAAATTAAACTAATGATAGCACACTTTTCTTCTTTTTTTACTTACCCTTTCTTTGATGCTAACGAGCTACAGAGATCCATTCGCTTGTCTACTATCTTCAATGCACTTTTAGCTATAGCTGGCGAAGACAGAATAAAATGGTGCTACATCTATTAACTAGAATCAGGCATGTATTAAATAATCTCTAATTAACCAACTGTTCTTCTAAACTAGCAAAATGAGATTGTGATATGACGTTCTAGTAGGCACCAAATTTGGAATTCCTATAATTTATTAA